GAGTGAGGGGGTCAGTGGTCAGTGGTCAGTGGTCAGTGGTCAGTGGTCAGTGGTCAGTCACACCCGGGCGGCGCGGGCGCGTCCGTACCTCGGGGTGTCTCGCGGCCCTTCGGCGACGCGCACTTGGGGCTGGACAGGGTGATGACCCTGGCTCTGTGACCCAGCCCTGGGGGCACAGGATGGAAGGGACCTCAGCAAGGGACACGGAGCCACGGCCAGGGAATGGGATGGAGGCGATGGCGCCGGGGCTGAGGCAGAGCCCTCCCTCCCTCCCTGCGGCTGCAGCCCAGGGGATCACCTGCTCTCCCCAGGGAATCACGTGCTCATCCCAGGGAATCACCTGCTCTCCCCAGGGAATCACGTGCTCTTCCCAAGGAATCACCTGCTCTTCCCAGGGAATCACCTGCTCTCCCCAGGGAATCACGTGCTCTTCCCAAGGAATCACCTGCTCTTCCCAGGGAATCACCTGCTCTTCCCAGGGAATCACCTGCTCTCCCCAGGGGATCACCTGCTCTCCCCAGGGAATCACCTGCTCTTCCCAAGGAATCACCTGCTCTTCCCAGGGAATCACCTGCTCTTCCCAGGGAATCACCTGCTCTCCCCAGGGAATCACCTGCTCTTCCCAGGGAATCACCTGCTCTCCCCAGGGAATCACGTGCTCTTTCCAAGGAATCACCTGCTCTTCCCAGGGAATCACCTGCTCTTCCCAAGGAATCACCTGCTCTTCCCAAGGAATCACCTGGTCTCCCCAGAGGATCACCTGCTCTTCCAAGGGAATCACCTGCTCTTCCCAAGGCATCACCTGCTCTTCCCAGGGAATCACCTGCTCTTCCCAGGGAATCACCTGCTCTTCCCAAGGAATCACCTGCTCACCCCAGGGAATCACCTGCTCTTCCCAAGGAATCACCTGCTCATCCCAGGGAATCACCTGCTCACCCCAGGGAATCATCTGCTCTCCCCAGGGAATCACCTGCTCTTCCCAGGGAATCACCTGCTCTTCCCAGGGAATCACCTGCTCACCCCAGGGAATCACCTGCTCTTCCCAGGGCATCACCTGCTCTTCCCAAGGAATCACCTGCTCTCCCCAGAGGATCACCTGCTCTTCCCAAGGGAATCACCTGCTCTTCCCAAGGAATCACCTGCTCTTCCCAGGGAATCACCTGCTCTCCCCAGGGAATCACCTGCTCTTCCCA